CACACCCATATTTGCCACCACCTTTAGTTGGGTGTGTCTTCACAAAAACATTACTAAGGATTCTGTATGCGGTGGTATGGGAGAGGATCAATGGGAGTTATCACGCTGGGTGATGCCAACCCTAGCGATGCCAGTGGGCCCTTTGGGAGCTTCCAGCTCTATGATTCTATGATTTTGCTTTTGATATGATAACAGCAAAAACACCAGAATAAGATACAAAGGTGAGATAGATAGTTTGGAAATAGTGCTTGCTCCATATTGGTGAGTTTGCATGTCACAGCCATTTCTTGCTCAGTTGCTGGCAATGAATGCTTTTGTGAGACTTTTAAAGTTGGTTTAATTTCTTCTTCAGGGTGAAACCCTAGGCTACCAACCCAAAGTCCACTTGGCACTGTTGTTAAACTGCTGGGTTCAATCTGTTTGCAGACTCTATTCATGAACCTTGGCTGCATCCACACTACAAAAATAATCCAGTTTGAAACCTCTTTAACTGCCAGGGCTCAATGCTATGGAATGCTGGGATTCATAGTTTTGTGAGACATTTAACCTCATCTATCAAAGAGTTCTGGTGCTGCAACAAACTATAGGTCCCAGAATTCCATAGCACTGAGCCGAGTACTGCGCACGCGCAAACGAGTCATGACCGCTATTTTGGAAAACAAAATGGCGGCCGTTACTCGCTCACGCATGCATGTGCGCGCGCATTCACAGTACCTCCGGCGTACTGCGCATGCGCGCAAGCGCAAGCAGCGCCATTTCCCCCCCACCCTCGGCCTGCGGAAGACCTGGGGACCAGCGGACCAGCCCCAGGTAAGAAAAACTTGCTGACCCCTGGTGTAGATGCACCCTAAGTAACTATTCCTGGCTCTGCAAACCTGATAAAAGTGTCATTTGGTCATACTCCAATTTCCAGCAGAATGGAGCTTCTCCTTTCCATGCAACTAATTCCCAGTAAAGTAGGTTGAAGGGAGAGTTATGATTGTGGCAATGTAGTGTCCGAATCAGTAGCGATTGTGAATACAGAACAGTTGCAGATGAGTAAATCAAGGCAACTGTTTCATATTTAATCACCATTTTTACACCACTTTAAGTCAGTGGCGTCCCTAGGGTTGGTGTCACCCGGTGCGGTCACTGGTGCGGTCACTCATGGTGTCACTGCCACCCCATTGACCTCCCATTTCACACCATACAGAATCCTTAGTCATGCTTTTTTGCACTAATGTTACTCATAAATCATAATTCCCATATACCCCTAAATGTGATAGTAAGAGTGGTGACATAAACAACTAGCAAAATTAAAATTATACCTTCAAATTACGGTATCGTACACACAACCTAAATGTATTTACATATTCAACATAGGAAAGATTAGAGTTAAAATGTGATATTTTTAAAGAATATTGAAAAAGAATATATATATATATATATATATATATCAAAACAATTTGCATTTTTATGTTTTATTTTTTTTAATTTTATTTACAAAAAATACAATATTATATCATATATACATATCTAAATATACATAACATACAGATAACACCAATGTTAACAAATTACAAAAAACAAGCAAAAACAATACTATTCTATCTTCTGCCTTTCCTTCTATTTCATTTGATAACAAACCCATTTCCATTAAATCCATGAGTTTCATCAGCCATTCATCTGTTTATATTTCTTTCTTAATTTTCCAATATTTTGCGTAAATTAACCTGGCTGCTTTAAGCATATAGAATATAATTCTTCCATATTTTTTCCTTCTTTTCATCTAGCATACACTGGTTTTCTTTCCAATTCTATTTCTAATATTTCAGTAATGTTTTTATGAATATTTTTCCAAAGGTTTTTAGCTTCAACACATTCCCACCACAAATGGAAAAAAGTTCCCTTTGCCTTCTCACATTTCCAGCATTTTTAAAAAAATAAAGGTTATGGATGAGGGTGCATCTACACTGAAGAAATAATGCACTTTGACACCACTTTAAGAACTGTAGCTCCATCCTATGGAATATTGTTGTTTGCAGTACTTTGTGCCTCCCAAAACTGCAAATCCCAGGATCCTGTAGAAGGAAGCTCCTTCAATTCCTGCAAACTGAGTCCAAAGTGCATTAGTAGTTTGCGCTCCATTTTTGTAATAATATTTAATAAATGGGAAAAAAACAATGGCAAACATGCAACTAGATAACAATTAGACAACAATAAAACACAATACATTAAACATTTTCCTTCCCAGACTCTTTTGGATATCTGTTGGTTTTGTGTATTTTAAATAAACTTCATTTTCCCATTAAGTCAACAGTGGGGAGAGAAGGGGAAGGGGCAGAATCTGTCTCTTCCCAGATTGATCAGGCAAAAGCAAACTGCTGCAGCTTTTCCTGACTTATCTGTTCTTACTCATTTTATAACTTTTGCCATCTGCGCCACACTCTGATGTTACTTACCACAAATGCCCTGGTTTTTATTTGTGAAACGTTGGAGGGTAGGAAATCCCTGCTCAGCCATGGAAACCCACTGGGTGAGTTTGGGTAAGTCACACTCTCTCAGCCTCAGAGGAAGGCAATGGCAAATCTCCTCTGAAGAAATCTTGCAAGAAAACCCCTACGACAGGCTTCTTATAAGTTGGAGTCAATGGGAAAGCATATAACAATAAGGAACAGAAAATCTTGCCATAGACCTTGCTGTACCTGACCCTGATTGTGGTATTTTAAACCACAATTGCTTGCGATGCTCAGATGGGAAATGGGATGCCCAAACATGGTTTAAGCACTGTTTACAAACCAGGGATGCGTAGTAAGGAAAAAACCCTAATTCCTTGGATGAGGCAGATAGGCTGTTGTCATCATTTCTAGGGCTGCATCTACACTGCAGCGGTAATGCAGTTTGACAACCGCATTGAGTGTCATGGCTCCGTCCTATGAAATACTGGGATTTGTAGCTTTGGGAGAGATTTAGCACTGGCGTCCCAGCAAACTACGAATCCAAAGGTAAAAAACAAGCTACAAGTATGACAGTAAAAAGAAAAGAGACAATGCCTGCATCTTGTTGTTGTGTGCATTTCGAGTCATTTCCAACCTAAGGTGGCTCGGACCTATCACAGGGCCTTCTGGGGCTGAGAGAGTGTGACTCACCCCAAGGTCGGTCAGTGGGTTTCCATGGTTGAGCAGGGATTCAAACCCTGGTCTTCAGCATTGTAGTCCAACGCTTGAACACTACGCCACACTGGCTCCTCTGCATCTACAATGAAGAATTAATGCACTTTGCACTGCTTTAACTGCCATGACTCAATGCTATGGAATTCTGGGATGTGTAGTTTTGTGAGAGATTTAGCCTTCTCTGTCAGAGAGCTCTGGTGCCACAACCAACTACAAATCCCAGTATTCCATAGGATGAAGCCCTGACACTAAAAGGGATTTTCCAAACTGTATTATTTCTGCATTGTGGCAGCACCTTAGATCAGCCCTGAGAACAAATAGCACAGATAGGACCCCTTCTTTCAAGTATCATGGCCCAATGCTATGGAATTCTGGGAATTGTAGTTTTGTGAGACATTTATCCTTCCTCTGTCAGAGAACTCTGGTACCACAAGAAACTACAGTTCCCAGAATTCCATAGCACAGAGCCAGGGCAGTTAAAGTGGTGTCAAACTGGATTATTTCTGCAGCGGGGATGCAGCCGTTGATACCGCTTTAACTGCCACGGCTCAGTGCTATGTAATTCTGAGAAATGTAGTTTTGTAAGACATTTAGCCTTCCTCTGTCAGAGAGCTCTGGCGCCACAGCAAACTACAGTTCCCAGAATTCCACAGCATGGAGCCAGGGCAATTAAACTGGTGTCCTCCTGGAATGTTTTATGTTTTTAAGTTAATTTAATTTATTAGTCATTTGTTATTTATTTGTTTTTCAGTAGGTTTTAAACTATAATTGTTTAATTGTATTTTGGGGGGGTGGGCTATTGGGAGATGGACTGTATGTTTTATTTTGTTTTTAAGTTAATTTAATTTATTGGTCATTTGTTATTTATTTGTTTTTAAGTATGTTTTAAACTATAACTGTTTAATTGTATTTTTTGGGGGGGTGGGCTATTGGGAAATGGACTGTATGTTTTATTTTGTAAGTTGTAGTATACCGAAAGGCAGGATATAAATATTATTATTATTATTATTAATAATATTATTATTAATTGGACTGTTTTTCGAAGTGCTCTTTCCTTGTGGGGCCCTTGTGATAGAAAGGCGGCATACAAACGACATAAATATATAATATTTCTTCAGTGTGGAGGCAGCCAGTCTAGGCCTGAGTGACAAAACAATTTTAAAAAATAAGCGTACTGCGATAACCCGTTCGGTGAGGCCTTTCAGATGTGTTGATCTAAACCATTTTGTTTTTCAGCTAGAACTTTTTTTAAAAAAGAGGAAGAAAAATGAAGGTTTTTTTTGGCTGTTAAATCACCTCAGGAATCCCCACAGTGTTATAAAGAAGTGAGTCTGAAGGAGCCAGCTGCAACTTGCCCCAAACACGGGCCGACGGTCGACTTCCCGATGCTGTGGGAGAGCAAAGAGGCATTGTGTGAAAAGGACGTGTCAACTACACAATTTTGTTAACAGCACAAACCATGTTCTCGGGGCCATTTGCACAGGTGTGCCCAGAATTGCCACTTCCTGATAAAAAAACATGTGTAACACACACAGAGAGACACACATGCACACTCAGGGCAGACATTTTCCCGGCCTTCCCAAGAAAGTAATCTCCCCTGCCTTTTAAAATAAACACACACACACAAGAAGTCACAATTTTCAAAGGTATTCGCAGTTAATAATAATAATAATAATAATAATATTTATATTATATTATATTATATTATATTATATTATATTATATTATATTATATTATATTATATTATATTATATTTTTATTTAAGACCTTGAAAGGTCTTCTGCAATTGAAGATGCAAGAAGGAAAGGTGCACAAGTGTGGTGATTTATTTTTATTTTATTTTATTTTATTTTGCAAGAGTGTGCAGTATAAAAGGTCTCCTCTGTTTTCTGGTATCAGACCTGGGGAAATTATTGTTTCAAGGAAATTTTCATATTTCATCTTCTTTAAGGGATCATCGTCATCATCATCCAGTGGGCCCTCCACATTCATAAATAATAAATAAATTAAAACTTGTTTGTATCCCGCTTTTCTACTATAATAGTAATCAGAGCGGCTTACATGTTAAAACAAACCAATAACAGTACATGATCATATATCTTATACCCCCCTTAAAAAAGAATTAAGTTTAGCACAGTTTAAAAAATATAATCTGTTAAAATCTATTAATAGCAATGGTCTATTGGGAAGAAAGGCAGGATAATACAAATGTAAGGGAGTTTGTTTATAGCTGAGGAATTCTATGGGATTAGGGGCACAAAGACCCCTGTGAAAGTGGAAAAAACATTAGTTTTT